TATTTTTGATTGGGACTCTTTTAAAATTAGTGACTCTCAGATCTTTTTTCTCTACATCTTCCTTGACTCTTGATCTTTGGACTTTTCAACATGCTCATATGTGGTTCTTTCTCTGTACCTACCTCCGTTCTTTTGCCTCCCCTAACTTATTGGGTCCAATCTGACCTCATTCCTCACAGAGCTATTTTTACCTCATTTACTCCCCACATTTAGAACACTGTGTTTTTTTAAGCCTTGTAAATGTTTTTCCAGTTATGTAGTTTCCAGCTGCTACACCATGTCCAGAAGGAATGATGTAAGCCCAACGCCCCCATGACAAGCGTGAAAGTCATTTTTTGTGTATATTTGAAGGTGTAATGATAAAAGAATGTCACTAAAAATAGCTCAAGCTATGTGTGATTGTTGGGTGTATTCAACACTTGTTAACTGAGTCTGGGAGGATATTTTCTTGGATAGGTTACAGGGACTTGAGCACAATGTGTTCTGCATCGTGGATATACCCACTGGCTGTTTTAGGGAGAACATGTGATGCCACTTTAAAAACCTTTTTAATAGGTTTTCGGTACAACATTAATCATCTTTTTATGCATTGCCAAATAGAATAGGGTGCAGTTTTGGGCTTATTTTGACATGCACATTTACACATCTACACTATTGCTAACATCATATTTATGTCAATGAGTGACTCTTTTTTCGTTCGTTTTTGCTTAGCTTCACTCTGTAACCTACTGGCTATGTTTCAGTTACCTAACTGGGGTTGGGGTTGCATTAACTTAGTCTTCCAAAATTCGTCTTCCATTTTGCTTGGTTTGCTTGAATTTGAGTCAGGTTTTCCAGCCTGTGCAGCATGAAGTACTTAGGATCCTGCAGGAGAACTAGCTTGTTCCAGGTCGTGTTTGGGCAGGAATGAAATCTCGGTGAGTCACATTTAAAAGAGGTGGAGCCCAGCTAAACTCACCTGCATCCCTGCAGGCAAGAATTGTAGACAGTTTAAACAAGAATTGTTTTCAATGGGATTTCATATCATATTTCATATAATCTCTTCTGCTGCAGCAATGGGTGTGTTGAATGTTGAATCGGTTTGGTAAAGCATGTAAGGGAAAAATGCATTTGATTTAAACAGATGTTTAACATCAGAGTTTACTAATACTACTAGTACTACACTACCTGCTCAATCAGCATGACTTCTCACATTGTGGGTAAGTTGCTTGCATTTGTCATTCTAGTAGTGAAGTTGATTGGTGTGGAATGAAAGTGCCTGCAGAGTTTAGTGTGAAGACACTGTACTGTAGGCAGCGTTTGAAAACCTAGTTTGACTGCTTATAGAAACGATACCAGGAGATTTACAGATATAGTCCCAGTATCTGCAGAATATAAGAAACCAGTCTTGAGTAGGAAGTAAATAGTAACTCACCTATACAGTATGCATATGTATGTATTCAAATTCATATATAGGCTTCGCTCTCTTCTCAGGACTGGGGCAAGTTTTAGATCTTGTAAAATCTACAGTAGTCTAGTTTTAGAAGAGCTACTGCTGTAGAATGTAATTATGCATTAAACACAAAACCGAAGCTTGGCTGCTATTCAGAGGTTAAACCTTTATTTAATGTCTGAGCAACATTGTACTTGTAGTAGCTGAAAGTACAACAAAGCCATGAAGGCAGATGGCTAATGTTAACATCTTGAAAAGGCAAAAAAAAAAAAGAAAAAGAAAAAGTTTGCTGAGCTGAAACCGAAATTACTTTGTGTATGAAACTGAGGCAAAGATAATAGAAAATTAATATAAGAAGCCAACCTGATAATTTTATGGTAGTTACTGCTAATTTTACTAGTTACTGTATATATTAATTTGGGGCGGTGATATTCTGTTGGGAACATTTTCTATCAGTGCTTTGTATTTGTACAGTTGCTGGTTATGAAAGATGTCCAGAAGGCCTAAAATTAGCATTTTTGGAAGCTTCCAAATCCCTTATTTGGAATGGCTTTTTAGCCTGAAGGACTCAAGTAACATCTGTGATAAACACATTTTCAAACGATAACTCTGACACTTTTGCTCCCTTTTTACATGTATTTAAAAAAATTACCTTCCAGGTAAGGAAGGTTTGAAAGCCCATTTTAACTGCATAAAAAACCATTATAAACTATAAAGCATTTTCCTCACCTCTTATCTGGCAGCTGAAATAAAGCACAATTAATTCTTAACAAATTCATAGCAAATTGCTCATAAAATCATGAAATATTAATAGGCAATCTTATTTAAGAAAAAAACTATTTACATAATGCTTATTGTACTCTCCTGATGGTGTTGGTGGGTGTGGCAGCTTATCAAGCGCCATTGTTAAACCCCAGTCAAGTCCCTTAATTCAGATCAGAGACTTGTTTCATAAACTGACAACTGACTGATTATCCAGTAGTTCCCTTTAGAAATGTCTGAAAAACTGCAGAAATGCATTATGCAGTAGTCCTTAAAAACACTATTTGCCACATGCAGAGCAGATAGAGGAGGCCCTGCTCTCAGTAGCCATGTCAGTTGTCAGATTTATCCCATCCCACAGACACATTAACCCTGGGGGAACAAGAAGCTTTCGATTGAGGAAAGCACATGATAGCAGGCTCTTATAGCAGGAGAAAGCCCCTCCTCTAGGAGCAGATATCAAGTTTGTCAGCCAGTCAAATACAATATACAGTGCTGTGAAAAAGTATCCCCCCTATTGCAGGCATTTTTATGACTGCAATAGGTTGAGAACCAGGCAACATAGCATGTTGAAACTGATACCATAGGTGCATCTACTAAAACTCTCAGACAAGTTTGAATCTCAGTCACCTTGACCTCAAGCTCAAAGGCAGAGGTCAAGTTTTCTTAAAATCTTGTAACTACTAGCTGGGAAAGCTCAGCTAACTAATTATCCACCAGGGAAATAAATGGAATACATCACTGTTGTCAGGTAAAACCCTTCATAAAGTTTCCAAAATGCTGTTTGTATGTGAAAATATAAGACAAGGAACAATAGCAAGAAGACTGAATTAGGCAAAGTCTGAAGAGGTACAAAAACATCCATGTTAAACAGATAATGTGGTATGCTTTGGATCATGAGCTGTTCCTCTTCTGCCATCCTTCTGGTACAAGTTAACTATGGTTTCATCTTTCACAGAACTGTGCCAAACCTTTTAAATGTTTTATGGCAAACTCTAACGTGGCCTTCTTGGTCTTGACTGTATTCAGTGGTTTGCACCTTGCTCTAAATCCTCAACATTTCTCTTCATTAAGGTGTTCCTTGTAGACGTCCTCCTCTCATTTGGTTGTTCTTGATTGGATGTTGTGAAGCTGTTTAACCTTTAGTTGCCTTCTGTGGTCTTTTGGGCCTTTTGGTGTTGCTGAACTGGTCAGTGCTTTGATTCTAGCTTTAAAATGTTTCTTTCTGCCATTGTTTGTACATATTTCATTTCCTATATGTATAGGCATATAGGAAATAAATTATGGTGAAAATATATACTTTGGACCTTTAAGCTCTTCTTCAAGGTCAAATAAGGTCACATTTTCAAAAAAAAATTATTTTATCTTTAAAACTATGCTGAATATTCCAATGCTTTTGTTTTTATTGGCCACATTTTGGAAATAATGCTGGTTAATGGGGATGCATCCAAATATCATCTCACATTTGACCTCAGATCTCAATTCTATATTTCATATCTGCCTTTCTTTCAAGTTGACCCCTACAAACTGCACTACAAACGTCATAAAGTATGTTTAAAAAGAACAAAGAAAACAAAGGGAATTCATACAAAATATAATACTCTTCCATTAAAAGTAAATACTACTCAGTATTCTTAGATCACAGTATATGTGAGATTCTTGATTATGTTTTTAGGAATCCCCAAAAGTTTTTGCAACACTTTTTGTGATGAGTCATTTTCTGAGGTTTGTGGCTTGTTCAGGCAACACACAAACCAAATACTTGTGTTTATAATAATGCCAAAAGTGTTCCCATAGCAATCTGGGTGTACCCTAAAGAAATAAACAGCTTTTATAATGCAGCAGTCTTATAGTTGCAAATGCTTGTTAATTTCGCAATAGGTGCACTTCTAGAATCTACTGTTTAAATGAATTGCACACCGCTAATGTTTTTCATTCTGCTGAATAAACCCCAAGGTTGTCTCAGATAAAACTGTTTAGGCTGCTATGCCCCCCTTTACGGTTATGTTGTTTCATGGGGGACCTTCAGTTGTGGTCAGATGTTTTCATACACTCATGATGGGCATGAATGTCATAAGTTTGATGCTTTGATTAATTTGATTTCTTTGACCTGCTACTTTTCCATGGTGGAATGATGGAGCATACATCTTTAATGACTGTAATGACAGCTTCAAATTTATTTTGTGTGTTTTTTGTCGAATCCACACAGGTTCACAAGAGTCTGTATACATACAGAGTCTGAAGTATACAAACAGCTCAAGTAATATTTGGTTAAATGTCTCCTAGCAAGCTACACCTTAACCAGATCCTCTTGCTAGCCATAAACAGGCTTCTGGCATAGTTCAGGTTAGATATCTGGCCACTCTTCTTGGTAGAATTGGCAGGGTTGAATTAAATTGGTTGGTTTTCTGATATTGAACAGGTTTTCAAGCATAGTGCAGAAATGTTCAAGGTTGGGACCATTTCAAAAGTGTAATGTTAACCTGCTTCATCCATTCCAAAACCAGTTCTGATGTGTTTTTGCAATCAATGTCCTGCTGGAACACCCAGTTGTCTTCAAGTTTCAACTGTTTTGCTATTCATATGAGGTGAAGCAAAAGACTTTGGAGGTAGGCCTGTCATCATGCAACTGATTGTGTGCAATGTACCACAATCAGTAGTGGCTGGTTCAAACTTGACGGTGTTGATTTTAAAACAGGGCTTTCTTTCTTGGTCAACACCTTCTCAGTTTATGGTGATATAAAACTTGCCTTCACTGTCACAGGGATACTGAAGTTCTAGCACTTTCCACTTCATGGCAGGCTTAAGCCTTAATGGGTCTTGGGTTGTTTCTGAAAATCCTAACTAATTTCCTCTTACCTGAGGATGACTGTTTGGGTCTTGTGAGTTAAGCTCTTTGTAGTTGTTTAGAAATGGCACCATCAGACTTCTGGAAAAGTGCAAAGCCCCAACCTCAACTGTATTGAAAATTTATGCACTATGCTTAAAAGCCTGTTCCACATCAGGAACTCAACCATTTTAAATAACATGCCAGTTCTGCTAAGAATCAGCCAAAGTTATGTCAGAATCTTGTTGATGGTAACCAAACGTTTGCAGTCTAGGTGTAAATGTAACCAATTATTAGTGTGGTTATCTGAATATTCGTGACCCTGCGTGGACCCTGTGGGGAAAATCCAAAACAAATTCAAGCTATTGACTTTCGTGGTTTTTAAAAGTCAATAAAGATGTATGACGTACAGTCATTCCACCATGGAAAAAGAACAATTCAAACAAAATCTTTAAAAGCTCAAAGTTACCATGACATTTATGTCCATGATGAGGTGATGAAAACTTTTGACCACAACATGAACTATGTATGATGCGTTTGTGTAACACTGAATTACTTGTTACAAACTGGAAAAAAAGAGATACAGTGTGTTAATTAGTGAGACTTAGAGTGCTCTAAAGGATTATAGCTGAGAAGATACCTTGTCCTTCAGTTCCAGTTGGATGCTAAGCATAGGCTTCTCATTGCACCTACTTATTTTCTATGCAGATTTGACTAATCTCCTTCAAAACAACAACTAACTGTCTGTCTATAAACCTGTGGTCATGGCTTGAAGAAACCTAGAGTAAACAACACAATATAGATCCTGGAGTTTTCAAAAAACTTTCTTTTGAAAAGCCTTAAACTTTCTTTCTACCTGACCCTCACTCTCTTAACCAAAGAGACCTATAATATTAGCAGTCCAAGGAACTGTGCCAACTCTAATTTTCTCTCAGTGTAAACAGTTCATGTGGAGCATTATGGCTCCCTTTCCCAAGATTTGATGCTTTTGTGATTTGTTGTTTAATGTCTAAAGTTAATGCAGTGATTCTTCCTTTCCTACAGTGGAACAAGAACAGATTCAGAAGAGGACCTTCACCAACTGGGTCAATGCTCAGCTGGCAAAGGTGAGGCCTAAATGTGGGAACAGTATGTGTGAAGGATGAACTTACTTTCTACTGTATGCTGGATACAAACACACGATAGAAAGAAACCATGCATAAAACTACTACAGCGTGTTGAAGAATATGTCTACTGCAACATGCAAACATAAAATGCTTTCCCAAAACTTTATACACAGTGAGCCCATTGGTCACTCTCACATAATTGGCTTTGTCAGACTAAAAGACGAAGCAGAAAACATGAAAAGTCCTGAATATTGTTCTCACTAATGACTTTTAAATATTATGATTCCTTTATATTAGTATTTGTGTTTTACGTAGTACCATGCAGCTAGTTTTAGTCATGTGCATTTCCTTTGAAAAGACATATTTTTCCATACTGCATGGATAATATATTCGTTCCTGACAGCAAAGTGACCTTGTCAATACTGCACCCTTCAACTGTCATGGAAAGAAAAGCACAAGTAGCAGTGAAATGGCTCACTTTCATTAAACTTTCAGCTTATTCATGACATAGATCCACCATGGACAAACTTGAAACTTTTCAAGGAGGCGAGATGTTATAGGAAAGCTGTCAAAGCACATGCATTGTGTAAAGGTTCTGTCCCCTGACATGACTCAGCAGAGACAGACTCTTTCTGCTTCATAGTGAAGGTCAGCTGTAAATATCACAGTGGAGGACAGTAGAGTGGTGGCTGCATACACAAATATAGCATTAAGGAGCAAGGTTCACAGCACACAGACAGACAGCAACAGACGGCCCACCAAACACACCCACCTAATCCACCCAACCAAAGGTCTGGCATGGTGGGAACTTTGCCAGTAAGCTAAATGGTGGAAATAGTTGTTAATCCTTTTGGGGCTGGTCACATTATACCTCACATTACAACCATGCACATGTGTATCACGTGTGAATAATATTTGGTGCAGAAACTTTTGTGTCCTCCTAGAAATTCAAAAGTGACCTTTTATGCCGGGATCGGAGTACATAATAGAAAGTCAGTTATTAGCAAGTCAATTATAACTTGATCTACATGACACAGGGCATTGGTTTGGGAATGGAAATTAGAATTATGACATTCAATCAATCATCTGGTTTACTGTAGCTAGGAAAATACTGCAACCTGTCAGGTAGTCAGTAATCCATAAAATCCTGGATGTTTTTATTGACATTGTTGTCAGTAAACACAGTTGTACAGTTTATTGTGTGTTGTTATATCACATTCATACTGAACACTGTCACACAATTT